GAGCCTACGGCAGTACAATGCCCCAGAATTACCTACGGTATTCTCATCGCGCATAAGCTACAAAACTATACGGTACCCTAGACTTGCCCACGGCATCTCTATGGACGAAAGGCTAATGGGGCCTTGTTCCTTTGGTTTTGTCTACCGATAGTGGAGACACTTTGGCTAAATCCAAAGCAAACAAATTCCTAAGTGGCCAACGGCCCAATCGGTAATTATCCTAAAAACGGTTATTAGCCTACGGCAGTAACAAATATGGATAAAAGTCAAGTAAAGTAAACAAAAGGTAACTTGAATTAAAAAGATGCCCTCGGCATCAATATGTTCAGACATCTTGCCAACGGCAATTAAAATACATAAAAAAAAAAAACTACAAAAAAAATGGCTCAGGCCTCGGCAGCCCGATCTCCCTGGTCGCCGGTAGTCTCCACCACGGCATCAACGGTGGCATCAGGGGCACCCTCGGCATCTTCAGGAGCGTCCTCCCCCTCATACTCCTCGATCAGCTCTTCTGTAATGCCTTCCGATAGGTGAGGGGGATCGGATACTCCTCGATCATCTCTTCTGTGATGCCTTCCGGTAGGGGAGGAGGATCGGCAGCGAAGTTCAGGTTCAGCTTCTGGCCCGGGTTAAACCGCTTGAAACGGTAGATGAGGTCCGCCATCTCCGAAGCCACTTCATTATCCACCAGAGAGGTGAACTCAGAGGAGGAACGGTATCCCCTGATGGCTTCATTAACAGCAGCCTCTATCTCTGCTGCTTTCGACCGCTTGGACGCTTCCAGTGCCGTCTGCGCTGCCACCTTCACACCTTCGGCATCCCTGACCGCCTGCTCAGCACCGTCCAGAGCCTCACTCATCTCGGCAAGCTTTGCCTCGTGCGCTTGAATCTGCCGTTCGGCAGCATGCATGTCCTGCACCAGGTTGGCGTGGTCCTGGAGTGCCTTCGTGGCGTCGGCGACCTTGGAGCGGCCTTCTTCGTATAGCCGTTTAGCGCGTTCGGCAGCAGCGATGGCTCTTTTCATGCACAGCCACATGTCCATCGACGCCTGAAAAATGAAGCCACAAGTCAGTACCGAACGAAAGATAACAACAACAAAAACACAATGGGAGTCAGAAGTTTACTGTGGCCTGGAGA